ACCAGAGAGAGTATTCATTTCTGGATATGATTTCTATTATAGATGTCTTTCAGAGGGTTTTCGAGAAAGTGATGTCCTTCAATTGATATGCATATCACTCCAAGACACCTACACTACTGCCTAGAAGTTCAGTAAAGGAAGGCAATAGACGAGTTGTCGTACCATCATTTTTTGACATTTTGGAAGGATACATTGCCCAGCAGCTTTACTTAATAGATTTCTGAATTGCAGTAACGAACACATGCTTATCGTTCGATTATGTTTTTGTGAAAGACATCGGAGCAATAAATTCCGAAAGACGAGCTATGAGCTTGGGATTACCATAAATTTCATGTAAATAACAATATGTTCCCAGTCAGGAAGGTAACATAATACTGCCAGGGGAGCTCAGTCATCACGATACACAGAGACAGGGCCCCATTGTACCTCCACAGCCGATGGGGACAATATCTGACCTACTCCATCCAAACCACACTGCTTCCTACGCCAGAAGTTAGTTTGGGCCCTGCCCTGTCGCGAAATGAAGAATGTTGACGGGGATATCAGCTAGATCTCAAAAGGCATTGGACAGCGCCCACACAAATTTCCTAAGTGAGGCATGTCCTAGCGGAATTGATTAAGCTCCCCAGTGATTTACTGTCAATCCTCTTGAGAAAGGGGTTTAGCTCGTCTAGCCATCAAAGATGATTGATGTGATAGTGCACTTACAATAGTTCATGTTTTTTTCAGTGGGCTCAATAACGCAGACGTTAAGCTTCGAAAACGGATTCAAACTTGGTTCATGGACGGCGTTTTTGGATGATTCTTATCGCTCACTGAGATCAAACATCGTGTTTGGGAGAAAGTGGCTTCATAAGGGTGGCCGTCCCTCTCCCCCTCACAAATTTTACTCGGATGTAGCAACTCCCATACGTGCTCCATTTAGGAAAAAAGGACCGGCGAGTGGGAGGGGAGACTTGGCAACTTCTTTGAAATAATCAGGACCCTTTTATTACGCTATCATCCAACATCGAACGCTCACTTCTTTCCTGATACCTGATTCAAGCACCATTTAAATCAGATTATGATGACATGATGATTATGACGAAGAGTCATGACATCACCTTACGAGTTCTCTCTAAAAACCAACCAGCATCGCAAATTGGGGCGATGGGGAAGGGCATAAGCCGGGGGCATTGGATGAATGATAAATTGAAAGTACACAGTAGATAAGAGAAATCTCATTTCTCATCACAAATTTGAGTATGATAGGGGCTCCTCAAAGGTCCGATCAATATTCTTGCTTAGAGCATCCAAGCAGAATATTATTTGAAAATAATCGATTGAAATGGGTGGGCATCCGAGCTTTTTCGTAAAGTTGGCAAAATAGAACAAAATGACTCGGAGTAACTCTAAGTAAGTTGAAGTGTATTTCGTATGAAGCGGACCATGATTCTGTCTTGTCAGTACAACGTCCCCTGCCGGCTCTTTGGATCACTTTCTTCCCTCATATTCGGGAAACCATGGGAAGCTCTCACCGAATAACTTTCAAACATGTGGGGAAAAGCAATCGGGAATTCCTATGAGTTCGTAGCTCAAGGGAACGGATCATATGATAACATGAGTGAATTCGTAGGGAAACACTAGAGATAGTGAATGAACGAAAGCCGTGTTGTTTGCGATTTCGCTCCCTTTTTCCTCGAGGATGTACTTTGTCTAAGGAGCTAATCAAGAAAATTGCGTGTGTAAGGTGCTATTTGAGAGGAGGAGACGAAGCATCGAACACAATCTCATCCGTGAATAGATTTAGCGTAGAGCTCGCTGAAACAACCCGATAATTTCCATTGCTATCCAAGTCAATTGAACCCTGCAGAGCTGTCTGTGTACCCTGGGTTGAAGTCAAGGGCCAAGAGTTGCGCTGATTGCCTCTAAAGAACGCTATGGGCTCAATTTACAGGCGTCTTGAACATTTCTTATAAAACTAGCTAAATATAGCTTAATTAGCGGTGCATCATTTGCAGAACCACAAACAATGAAGCAGTAGGGAGGGGTTGGTATAGGAAAAGGATGGAAATTGATTTTTTTATAAAGTTCAATTAGAACTTAAATGAGTTTATGAAAAACCATGAAAATTTCACTTGGAAGGAGAGTGCTCAGGAGTCTTACTGATGACTTTTGGTCTTCAGAGTCCCTTTACCCCCTTCCCCATCGAAGGCAACAACTAACTAAAGGCCCAAGTTCACAACTTTACTGAAGTTTTTTGTTATATTCTTTGTTACAGGGGGTTATTCAGAAACCACCTCTTCAATCAATAATTTCAGAGAGCTTGAAGAACCCTAAAAAGTAACCTTCGAGGTATAAAATACATAATGATCCAACAGTTGTAGGGAGAAGTCCATGGATAATAGCGTAATGTGAGAACGATGGTGGCGATGGGTAAGTGAAAACGATATATTTGCGACTTATCCTTCTTTTCCCAGGATGCACTTTGCTGAGAAGCTAATTAAGTAAAGTGTTGACATAAAGTGTTGATTGAAAGCGATGAAGAACGTTGTAGAACACGTTAGAAGTTCAGCCAGGATTGAACTTCTCACGAACTCGAAAGGAGCAACCAAGCGCTTTTTTGGCCAGAGCTGTTTGATAGCGCATTCCAAGGGGAGAGGTTAGGAAGAAGTGCTCACATCCTGGCCTCACAGACTATTCCCAGTGAGAAGTCATACTGGTAATAGACTTACTTCGTAGTTTATGGAGTACTGAAATACACCTATCAATAGAAATACTATTTCAGAAAACGAACTTAATAGCAAGGGATTCTGCTGAACAAAAAGATCAAGCAACGATTTTGGACCAGAGACCAGCGATGTACGCAGAGAGTGAATCGCCGTTTTTCCTACGGGAAGTCTGAGAGATTGCAGTTTCTTCTACTTTGAAGGGATAACTCAGAGACCCAGTAGCGTCTGAAAACAAGATGATTTCTTAAGTAAGGACATCAGGATAGTATGTACGGTTCCTCCCATTTCGCCGGCCACGCTGTAAAAATAGCTGCTTCTAATAAAATACCTTCATTTTGATCGGTTAAACAGGCTTTTCTGAATTTTAATGTCTTACTAGGAGGCTATTGCAGTTGGAGTATTCACATATAAGTGAAGGAGCGAACGAAACACTGTGGAGAGACCAGTACTGAACCAGTACTAGTACCAGTAGTAGTAAACATCGCACCCCTCGGTATCTCTTCGAAACTGTTCCCTCATCGTTAGCCTACAGCCTCTCCTCATGCTTTTCGATTAATAGCCCTTTGATATTTCATCTAAAAAAGACTGAACCCAGTGGCTCTACAGAAGGACTGGAGCAAATTCAGAAAAGTCTAATGAATCGGATTTCTGCAAGTGATGATTTCAGAGGGCGGTTATGAAAGTTAATGATAAATATTACGGGTTTCAGCGAGATTTCCACATTCTACAGCCTTTGTAGGCCATTGAACAAGCATCTGAACAATGAAATGTGCGTTCTCGGAATGACGTGTGAAGAATTGGGGATTTAGACTGGAGTACTCGCGAACAGATGAGAGAACCTTGTCGTTGCGACGATGAAGTGAAATCTCTCGTAACACAATTTGAGGAGGGTCATTTGTGAAAGGCGAAAATGCGCATTGTTGCGACGTCCATGCAACGCCAAAAATCTATTGACATCCCCCGAAAAAGTGACTTGCTGCCCTTTTTGAGATCTGTTAGCAAAAGCTAGTGAAGTAGTCTCAGTTATACAATTATTGTGTTGAATTGTTTGGGTATAAAAACATTGTGAAAAAGCGGTGGAATTTAACCAGCCCCATTCTTGAACAGTCCCCTCCTAGACAGGTCTTCATTTTCCTATTTCCAATTAAATCATCCTTTCAGTGGCACAAAACTCTAACGAGTTGATTTTTTTGTAGTTTACATGCACTGTTTTGTAGAAAAACCATAAATCAGTGAAGATGATGCTGCTGAAGGCAGTTGGTAGAACCATTAAGGTATGACTGAAAGAAAAAAAAAACGAAAGGGCTTTTCCTCAGCGCCTCATCATCGAAGCTACGATGTCACCCAGAGATGGCAGACATGTTTAAGAGAGCCCAGACAGCTCGAGGAATAGCCAAGCCAGCTACTCCGAGAAGCATAGTTGACAAACCAGACCACACCGGTTCAATCATTGCGTGGACTCGGGCAAAACTCAAACATTTGTGCCCATGAGCCCAACTTCCGCTTATCCCTACGCCTTTTTAATGAAGAGGCTTTGATCACCTGGATTCACTTGGCGCTAAGCGTATAATCTCTGCATGAGGACAAACTTTTACGTCTCCCGTTTTCAAGTTGTTCTGAGCCACCGCACAAAACGACAGAGTAAGCGCTTTGAGGTTGTAGCAAAATTAAAAGGATCTCGAAACCGGAATTGTAAAGCGTTTTGGCTTCCTTGCATACAAATCTTGAACACTTAGAAAAAAAGGGAACCCCTCGAGTTCCTCCTGAACTTAACCTTCGAGCAGGGAAATACGCCCCACATCTATCAGTCAAATGTGTCTGCGGATCTATTACGCATGCGGTCGCGAGCTTGTCCATGTTACTAGTAAGAATCCAGGCGAATTACTCAATCCACAACTGTTTGCAGCATTTCTGAAAATTTTGTTCTTACTATGAATTCAGTCGATCTTCAGATTTGATAGATTCGAATCGTTTTGTTGATAAAGCTATGCTCTCTTGGAATGGACACAAGTATTATACAAAATATTTCTATTTCAAGTTGTACTTTAGAAGCAAATCAATAACCGTATACTACTCAAGTAAAATATAGTTACTCTAAATACAATAGAAATGTATCGCTTGTCACTTTGGTTGTTAGTTTTACAAAACGATCGAATATTGCACCTGCATGCTAACCGTAATGAATCTATAAAGCCATACAGAGAAACCTGAATGAACTATTAGCACGGACACAAAGAAGGAAAAGATGGAGAAAAGACGGAAAGATAAAAGAAAGAAACTGGGTGGTCTTTATGATGGTGAAAGCTCATGTGATAGGAACATACTGCATTTTGCTAAGGACGCAGCTACATTTTCAGTTGGGACTATAGAATCATCCGATCGTGTATCTTCTTGCTTTGGTGTAGCTCCTTGAGTACTGGCCCATGGTTGGATATCAGCAGAACCCCATCGTGTAAAGAATACTACCGGTAAAAATGCGACAACAGCTGAGATTTCGAAGACAATTGCCCATTCCTGTGACGTTCCAGATCTGTAAGCTTCCTGTGGAATACAGAAAGTCACACACAAGACCACAAACATTCAATAAAATTTGTAGAAAGCTTAGAAGGGGTGAAGACTCATGCTATCTACCTGCACTGAACATTTTAGCCATGCTTTTCAATCATAATTTTGGGAATGTGGGTCACTCTCTAGCCCCCGTGCTCAACTCAAGGGAGTGAAGGGTCATTACCCCCCGGCCTAGCCTGCCCTAGTTTTTCAGGTGCCATCGCGCGCGGCATCCGTACTTGTCGCGCGCGAAGGCCTCTCAGAAACCGCGCTCCCTGGCCACTTTGCCCCAAATGAATATGAAAAGCTGAATAACAAATTTATAATACACTAGTCAATTGCTTAAGCCTGTAAATAGCAGGGTTGGGAAGAGGTCTGACTGTTAATAGAATCAGGAACCCACGACACAATGTAACTTGAGATCATCTTGTTGATAATAGAAAATACAGCTGCAACAGCGAAAGCAATTCCCGTAACAATACCAGTGTAGGCCGGTGCTATCTGTACGAGAGCTGTCTGTACACCAGGTGAATGCAATCCTGAAATTACTCTTTGACAGTGGATCTTTCTCACAATTATACGAAAATGTATAAAGAGAAGTGAGAGAGAAATTAAAATCGTGAATGTGATAATCCCAAAAAAAGGAATCTAACTGGTATAGAACCATCAATAACTAGGGTAGGATTTTCTTGCGAAGAAAGGAAAGCGAACCAGAAGTCAGATACATTTGAAAATATGGAATATTAAGCAACTTTAATGTAAGAATTAGGCATACCGGCGAAAGCATTGGCTAAACAAAGCACAATAACTGCTGCAGTCGCATTCCCACTTGATCCGAGCAAAGGGGTCAATCCCACACAAATTGCAAGACCCAAAGAGCCAACAAAGTTGAAAAGTTTGCAACAAGCCGTGGGTCCTGCGATGAATTCATTAAGCTCCTTATGGTAATGCGACTTTTCGAGCCGAAAATTGAAAGCGACGTTTGTAAGAACAAACGAACCGAGAAGTGGCGGTTTTCTTGCTGTAATCAGTGATGCCAAAGTACAGGAAAGCGTCTTGGAGATAAATAGAACAACCGATGGCAGTGATGACACTATACCATTTACAACATTGGAAAGACCAAGAACATCCGAAAAGTACTTTGGAAGCAACTGAAATAGAGCTTATTGATTGATCACTGCAAATCACAATCATCGTTTCGCAGCTTAGCTCAGGATTATTCAAGAATAAGCAAATTTAGCATAGATTGCAACTAATAACCTCGCGTTAAACTCCTGATGGACAAAGTTCTCCCAAATGGGAGGTGGTGGTGCAACGCAGAATACCTACACTTGTGCCGACAGTGCCCGCGCTCGCGGCATTTGACCGCGCGCTATAAAGGGAAGATTCGAATTTCCGGCGGAAGAATACGGTAATCGCCGCGAAACCGCTGCTGCCGCTTACGGTAGGAATTCGATTAGAAATACCGCCACCCAATTGTTTCGCTTCTATATTCGCTCTCTTATTTGGTTTGTTTGTGAATGAAAGTTGAAAATTTAATAGGACTTACTTGGAGCATGATAACGAGAGGATATTCGTGACATACAAGTGCAGCAACTGCCACATACAACGGAAGACACCGGGCCAGTTTACCCCATGGTGGGTTTCCTCGATCAGTACGCTTTCCGAGTTTTTCCTCAGTAATTTTTCGAGCAATATATCGCTCTTCACGCTGAAAAACTTCGATATTATTGGAACAAGTGGAGAGTGTTGTGGGCAAGGAAAAGAAAGAAGAGTGTCCCACTTCAGAAACCAAAAAATGTTTTGAAGGTTTATCAGCTGATAAAAATAGCCAGATGAGTAGTATTACACCACCGATAATGGCAGATAGATAGAATATCGCTGGCCATCCATATGTCGACGGATGTTCACAAAACAGTCCACCAAGGGGTAATATAAAAAGGGTTCCTTGAAAAACGAAAATAACAATAAAGAAGAATGATGTCAGGGTCTCCACCTATGCATTGCTCACTCTTTGTAATAGAAACGAACTGAAGGAGACTCTCATGAACATATCATAAACTTACCTATCTGCCTTCCACCAGTTACAAAACCAACAGCAAATGGTCTTTCCTTTGGTGGAAACCATCGTGTGATCATAGAGGATGCCGAAGGGAACAGAAGTGCATCACCCATACCAGTTATGACTCTGAACACACACTCTTCATATTTACCGTAATTTGCTCGGATTTTTTATGAACCGATCAACGATACATTGTACAACTACTCAGTAGTAGTACTAGTACTTAGTTTTGTGCGTAACATAGCATCGAAATCATAAAGTTCCGCATTATGCTTAAAAAATCCTACTGCGAGCACAAGTAAAAAAGACTTTCTGAATCAAGGGCCCTTGTGGTACTAACAGACGAGACGATGTTTTGAAGCATCAACGGCCTGTGACGGCCCACACGCTTTTCCCAAAAATGCCCAAACAATTCTACTGCGGTCCTGATTTGGAGACAGGTGCGTGGTGTATCCTCGGGACGATAATCAGCTCTTTACCCCTTGTATGTAGTTTGTACCCAATCTTCAGTTAGCACGTGGATATTGAAAAGTTGAGATGTGCTTCCCTCGAGTGGAACAACCAGCACTGACTTGGAGTTTTCTTCAACCGAGTTTACTGCTTAAGCTACCGCTTTTGAGGAAGTTCTGGCCGAAGGCTCGACGCGACCGCATTTTCAAAACATAGAGTCGTCGGATAGTCAGTTTTTCTCGGCCTTCTCATTCTGCCAAAGTAAGCTCAGGAAAAATGGCCGTAGAACTTCCCTACGTCTACTCAGGAGGTAGAAAATTGAAGAAGTAGCCTTCCAGTCGAGGAGCTCTTGAATGGTCTTGTTATCATACTGGTAAAGGTGAGATTCCCCACGACACTGCAGGTGTGGAACCTTTTTAAGAATGGTCTCTGTCCATTCCCTCCACCTCCACTGAAGCCATAATAATGAAGTCCGTTTGCACACGGAGTAAGCGAAACCAAACGAATCGAAGAAAAAACTTTTTCGGAAGGAAGGATCAAGTGCAAATCCTCCAAATCAGAAACTCTCAACATGTGTAAATAGAAAAGAGGATGGAAGATGTGTTCTTTCAAGGGTTTGAAGTGATTGTGTTTGATGAGTACTTGAGTACTTCCCCTTAATCCACACTGTCCAGCTGGCGGCCGTCTCTGAGGGATTTAACAAAAGGATTTCTTCAATTTGCTCGATAGTACAAGTAATCAGATAGACTTTCTAAATAGATAAGACTTAGCCAAACAATTAATGGCAACTGCAAAGCTGATTGTGCAGAGATAGGACGGCTCAGAAAAATTCTTGCACCTTCATCAACCAACATTTTAAGCCGTCACGGCTATACTTACTGTTTGAACTACTTCTACACAAAATTCCTTTCATTCAGATGGTGGCAAAAGTTGTACCTTGCAATGCGAGGCGAATTGGACAGGATACTGTGCAAATGAGTCTAATTTTCATGATCCTTATCAAGTTTCGAAGATTGGCCAGTTAAATGTACGTTACCATCCATACTTAAGATAAAACTGCACAATTTCATGAAACAATCGTCATTTTTTGCATCAAAGATTTACGGGTGTGTTGCGTTAGGAACGAAATGGTCGCGTTACGGTGAGAGGGCGTCGCGCGCGAAGGAATGTAGCAGGATGCAGCAGTAGGTAAGAAATACAAGAACAAAAGTACTANGATCGCATATCGACTGAGCTGAATGAAGAACACTAGAGCTGTAATAACGGCGAATAGTGGTCCGCGACAGCCGCGTGCGGCAAATCGATTACCCAAAATCGTTCCTAACGCCCGTCTCCCAAGATTTACTCCTAGGGATTTCTCAGGATAATCCGGGTTCGATAGTCAACCCGTGTGAGGACAACAGAGTCGCAAGGCTCATGGAAGATAGTCTCATCGTGAAATTTCGCTGGATAGGAGGGTTAGAGTACATACAAAGATGGGGCAGGGTCGAGAAGCACAGCTATGAGGTCGGCCTCATCAATCTCACCGTGGTTGGGAGTGAATGATGTTCGTGTAAAGAAGCAATAATAACATATTAAGAAGTATACACATATGTTTGTTTTGCAGTAGTTTCGTAGACATACAAGAAACTTGAAAGTTAAAAGAGAAAGTGAAAGAAAGAAACCGGTTCAAACATTTTCTTGTGTCCCTTTCCGTGTTTCCACACTAGCATTCATGTTTTCGAGTTTCTACTACTACTAGTCATGTCATATGAACTACTACTACATTCACCTTAGGGTTGAGATAGAAATCAGCATGTTTACCTGAATACGAAAACAAGCCAGGGTGAAGTTGGCGCTACCGATGGTATAAGCGAATTTGACAGTATCAGTAGAGTCATGGCGACCGCAATTGTCCATTTACCATTCAGACGATCTGCTTGCCATCCAGCCAAAAGCATAAATAACGAACCAACATTTTGAGCAGCATAGATGGCACCTTTAATAGAGATAAGTACAGTAGTTCTGTACTACAAGGAGTGATGTCATCTTGCGCGTCAGACTTTGTTTTGGCCGAGTTTCAACTTTGTTTCTATGGTTTTCTGATGCTTCAGAGATCAAGGGCCAGTCACCAGTGTTCATGTCTCCGGACTGACTAGACGACAATGTTTAACAAAATGAACTCTTCAGCTTTTCGTATGAGCAGTAAGAGGTCGTTAGCCCCTTGCTGGATGAAATGGTACACGGGTCAGGAAGTGCCGTCGCAACCCTGCGCTAGATCAATGCGCGCGACATATGTATGAGTTACCTCATTTGGCGGGCAATGCACCCACAACCTAGCACGGTCATTTCCACATAAGACCAGGATGAAACGATGATTTCGATGGTGACAACATCAGGTTATGGCATTGATACTACTAACAATATTTTTTAACTCTTTGTGTAATCACTCAAAAGTAGTAGGCAAGGGAATGAAAAATAGAGTAGAGTACGTCATTCAGAGATTCGGAGTACCACTCATCCTTCTCAAAGCAAAAAGAGCTTGAATAGGAAGGGTGCTTCACGTTATTCAAACTAGTTTCGCCCTAACAACAAGCTGAGTTGTAGCAAAATTTGGATTCCTGCCAAGGGTTATAAGGGTGGAAGAAAAGAAAAAATAAGTGAGAAAGCCCTAGTTCATACCTTGTTGTTCCGAAGTCCATGGTAAATAATTGCCCTTGTAGCAGGGTGACACCGAGATATCCGGGTCGGACAGTGAACCATGGCCACATGGTTGAACTCGAACCGACGAATTGCCTTGAACCGTACGGCCTCGCATCGCTGACAGGTCACGCCGAGCGACAAGAACGGTCTGGTCTTCAGCCTTTTTTACTGATGCTGATGACGGTGGCTGATGAACCATGCAAACCATGGCTTGAGCAAGATTAGAAGTGGAAACTGATAGGGCGATAAAACATAGCGAGAGAATTATTGCCATTAAAAATCGTGTTGACGGAAATATGCGGCTCTTCTCTCCAGAGACAAAAATCGAAGAATTATCTCGTTCTGATGGTTCTACCTTTGACATCGTGCCAGTTCACTTGGATCACTCGCTGGTGGTTTTATGAACTGGGTGAAGATCTGTAAATGACTTATCATAAATGCTTTAGGATTATCACCAAGTGCACGAACCATAAAAGGTAGTTATAAAGAAACGTCACGGACATTATCACGTTAACAAGGAATACGTTTGGCTAGTATTTGTGAAAAGCGAGGCGTAATCTACAAAACAACACGACGTGTATTATGTGGACTGGTTGTTGCTAAGATTTCCGCGAAACAAAGCCTTTTGGTAAATAGAGGTTAAAGCTTAATCGCGGAGGGTATGGTCTCGACACGTAGGCGTGAACTACGTGAGATCTGATTATTTACAGCCATACACTTGAGTTTGTTGTAGATGACGTCAAGTTGACTGTCAAAATTAACAGCCTATCTATACCAGTAAGAAGGAACTTATAAGACAATCATAGCCTGCAGTTGGGCACGTACACAATGATTGTTGATCAATAGCCAAGACCAGATTGGGGGGAAAACGTGACTTATCGGAAATTCCTTCCAACCGAATAAACTACAGTAAATAACAGTAAAGTTATTTCTTGAATGACCAAGTGACTGAAAAATTATACATATACTGATCCTAGGCGGTTGTCACGTAGACGAAATCGTTTCAGAGGGGGTCCGAATGTGCAGCGGGGAAGAATTTTTTTGTGATCAGAATATCTAACGAACTAACGACTCTGGAAATAAACTTTTACAAAAAGTATTATTACTGCTACTGGAATAGTTGCTCGTAAGGAGTAAACTCCAGCGAAAGCAATAAAGTGGAACATGAGGATGGACGACTAACTTCCCCTTTACCTGTAATGTCTTGAAACATATCTGACCCCAGTAGTCTGGACGGAACTTGTGATTGTTTCAACTGTACGAAGGGCACTCGGAAGCCGCTCAAGTGGATCCCATTGGGATTTTCAAATTCCCGCCATTTCTTCAGAGAACAATGTGTGGTAGGGCGGTATTGATTCGTGGGAAGACAACTGTGTACAAAGAGTGTTCGATAAGTTAAGTTGTAGGTATGTAGAAACTTAGCCGCTACTGTTTACGTGAAGAACAGGGAGGTAATCGTCTAGGGGAGCCCGGAAGACGGATTGGAGAAACTAACGAGTACTTTTAAGGATGCATCAAGTGGATTGCAAACCAGAAATCGCAAGCACAACAATATTTGGATGTGAAGGGTAGGAGACTGACTGGGAGCATTGGGTCGATTGGGAGCCCGGAACGAGATCGATCAGTGGTAGAGCAAATGCAGGAAAACATTCAGTAGAAATCCTGGTCCTTATCATGAGCCTTGGAAAGTGGTTTACAACCAATTAATCTAGTTACATAAAGTGTTACCAGTGAGTAGAGGTAGGAATTTACAGTTACTCGTACTCACGAGAGAAACAAGGAGCGACGGCACGCAGCTGAAGCTTCAACAGTGTAAAAACTGGACCGGAAAGCGCAGACCTACACGGGTTCAAGTCCAACTCGCAGCTGAACTGTTCAGTTCAATGTTTGGCCTTTTTGCTACAGTTATTCGAGTGGTTCGAAGTTGAAAATTCTATCATTCCCAAGTAAGAATGATGCTGATTGATCGAGTAAGAAAAGTGGAGGACGTGGAGCTCCTAGCGTTTGATCTCCTAGGAGTGCCTTCCCATGATGTTACAGCATCCCCGTTCGTCCGCACGCAATTTGTTTCAAGCTAATCTGATTAATAAAGCAATTAATACTGGAAAAAGTGTTTAGATAGCGATTACGGTTTTACAATGTCGCCGTATCACATTTAACGGGCCAGTTTATCCAGTGACAAGAAAGCCCAGTTTTTCGGGGAATAAAACACCTCAGTATGAAAAGTTGCCGTTTTCATTGTACTGGGTTTACAATCGCTAAACAATGAAAAATCAAATCTGGGTAACAAGTACTATTGCAGACAATTGGAGTCCGGATAGGAACTGGTTACTAGTAATCTTGCAAAACACATAATCCACTTTCCGCATTCGAGGGAGTACTAATTGAATGCTGCTTTCTTTAGTCAGAAATTTCTACCCGAAATCCTCGCGCACATTCTGGTAGATCACTTGCTCGCAAATTACTATATCATTACTTGCATTACTACTATCACTTGCGATCTACAATCATCCGTATGTATGAGGGAAAAGCCATTGGTTGCTCATACATTTCATCAGAACTGTACAGAAAGTCACAATGTCTCATACCAGTGATAGTCGAGAAGCTGAGTGAGCAGAGAATTTTGTATTTAAGGATTTCAATGGCCCTATCATGTGTAGCAATATGATTTCATTTTTGAATCAAAAAAGTGGTCAAAAAAANAAAAAAAGCCAGAGGATGGGGCCTTCTTCCCTGATGTCAGAGGCATCATGAAACGCAAACTTTACCGTGAAACAGCCTCGGTCTGATCAGAACAATGAGGAGATTATCTGACATGGAAAGGTTGTCGACAGATGATCATTACCGAGTTGAGAACTTTTTCTAGAGGTCAAAAAAGATAGAGTGATTCCGGCTAGAGACTACGAAGGACATTGGCCCGATTTCCCATTGGAAGGCAGGCCGTAGAGCTCCCAGCTCTTGGGTTCTTAAGACCAAGCTCGTTCAACAGGGTTCGACTTAAAACTGCCCGATTTCATTGCCGCTCGAAAATGGCATTTCTGACAGTCTGGACACGATCCTCTTGACCTCTCGATCGGTCATAACTGAAAATGAGGCTTGTCTAACTCGTTATACTACTTTTGACTTACTGAACAGAAGCAGTCTAGAAGGCCTGGAATGGAATCATAAAGAAACGATAGCTGTTCGCGATTGGAAATGATGTGAATGGAACTTTGAATCTGCGTTGCCCCTTAGGGCACTTAAGAATATGCTCAAAAATTATGCAGAGCGTGGGTGGTACCACCCACAATGAGCTACCAACTTTTGTGTATAATATCAACTGTTCTAACTTTTAGGCAATAGAATCTGAAACTTTTCAAATAGATGAATTTCATATAAAATGACTGAGCCAGATATGTAAGAAATATCGTAGAACTGTTGATTCGACTATTGACAACAAAAATTGTACAAAAGTATTTGACGATCTTGGACGAAATTGATTTCGATTATTCAAACGAAAGAAATGGCAAACATAATTGTCACATAAAAAAGAAATACAATCATATCTGAATTGAAAATGCTGAATAAAACAATCACTTATGCTAACATACAAAAGGGTCTTTTTATCATTTGTTGATATAAACAATAATTTTTAAGTGAGTCTGAATTTCAATTGAACTTCAGCTAGCCGAATTTCTGAAAGAAGGGGTCGAAATGAAATGGTAACCTGACTCAAACACGTCTGAACATTGATTTATTCTAGTTTAAAGATGGAATTCTGACACAAATTATTTTGGTTGATCGAATAAAGGAATGATGTAACCTTTGTTGACAAATTCCTTCCCAACATGGCCATAACACAATTTTCGGTTCAGATTTACTTCTTGAGATCGCATTTAGACGGTTTCCGAAACGATTTCACTCAATTGACGCCAATACCGGTTTTTTACTGTTACGAATTTACTTGGGTAAGTAGTAAGTAAAAAGTAACTATGCGAAAGTATGTGCAATACCACGCATGCAATAAGCCACAGTGTTATGTGTGTTGTTCTGATGAAAAGATTCGCCGCGGCCGTCACCGTCACCATCGCCATCGTCGTCATAGGGGGGTGTTCAATGTTCGACAAGTTTGGTATTTGCCGTCCGGGCACGGGCACGGGCGTCTACACAAAAAAAACTGGTTAGTTAGCCATTTATCCGATATAATACAACAACCAGCTAACAATATAAAGTCCATACAGCCGTTCCTACGTACGTACATCGACCAAATGTTTCTACTTTCTATCAGCCCCCCCCCCTTTTCATCCGGTCCCATTCGCCTTCATGGATGGATGAGCGGAACAAAGCACTTAAACGGGTCCTATACTAGTATGATACTATGTCGTGTAATCGGTCATATATGATGTAATCCGAAAGTAACATTTCATCTCAAACAAGTATCGTAGATTTCGTAGAACGGGAATGGAAATGCATGCAGGAAGTTCAGACCACAGACTGAGCGGATAAACTTACCAATGACCAAAACCGTAGTACTAATTTACATGTATCAAGATTAACAATTTCACATATAGACCTGGCAGAAACAAGTTTTTTTTGTTTCTACGAGCACAATGCACAGTTCAAAACCTGCGCATATCTAAACAGCTCAGCATTTGCCGGGGATCATTTTATAGTGTATCCGCCAAAGATGGTAGAAACGGTGCTGACTTATATTTGTACCATCCCAATAAGTCTTTACCTAAGCAAAAATGGCGTCTGAATGACACAATACTGGCGGAAACTCTTTGCTTGGCGCATGCTAGGGATGGACGTACGATGGTTCAGGAATGAAGTTGCTCTAGCAACAGTCAGCGTCAAAGTTCGCCAGAGAACGGAAAGAGGAGAAAGTCACAGCTATGGGATGACTGGGAATCTGAAGAAAGAGAAAAATAGAGATAAAGTGGTCTTGAAGGGAAGGAAAAGCGAATGATTGGGAGAAAGGGTCGTAAAAAGAAACGAAAAAGATCCGCAAAGACAGGAAAAGACATTGGAGCTATACTGGAAGAACGCAAAACGATGTACAGGAAAAGAGGTGTGGCATGGAGGAAAGTGAAATCCTACACGGATAGACCCGGTTTTAAGCAGATATAAAGAGGGGAGGGAAGGAAGGGAAGGGACATATCAATAGACTTAGCACGAGGAAGCGTGGATACAGTGGGAGCTCGGGAAACGACATCACTTTCGGTTTAGCTTTTTCTAGAAAGGGTAAACTGGACAACTGGTAAAAACTGCTTCAGAGTAATTCGATCTAGCACTGCAATACCATCTACTCAATGCTAGAATCTTTTGGTCTCTGCCTAGGGGAGTCTAGAAAATTTTGGACGAGTCACTGCTACGAACGAGATG